TTTCGGAAAAACAGGAAGTGACAAAACGGGGCTAGTTTTTGGCCTGCAAAGCCTGCAGAAGCCTTCCTCAAGCCTTTGGGAGGCCGAAAAAGGCCTCAAATTGGCCGAAAATCAGCTGTGACGCACATACGTGCCGGCACAAATGGCTCTGCATGCCACCTGTGGCACACGTGCCACAGGTTTGCCATCATGGGTATAGCGCTTGATATTTTTCTGATGACATAGTATAATATTCAGTCTTCAAGATTTTAACATGCTAAAACAACACAGTTGTTGCATAGAATAATGAGAAATAAAGACATGTTCCTGTTCTAATATTTTTTTAAGTGATTTCTTTGGCAGTTTTGAGTTTGTCACAATTTTGAGTACAGGAGAGCTTCTGTTGTCTTAGCAATGAGTTTCTTACCTTTTCTATTCAGAGAATAAAATCAAGCTCTAAATAACATACAGAGTTTTGATATCTGGAACTAACAAATTTTAAGGAAAAGAAAGCCAAAGTTCATAGAATATCTGGAAAAACCACACAATATCTGGCACAGCAATGTGGTATACACTGCAGGAAAGGAAAATCTTATTAAAGATTTTGAATCAAAGTGTGATCTTAAAGTCAAAGAAAACCCCAAAGACATAAGTTTAAAATTATGAGAAGAATTTGAAGAAAAAGTGCAAATCTCTGTTATAAAGGTCCTTTTTCAGAACTTTATACAGCATCTTATTTAATTTCAATTGTTTTCACTAGACGCTAGGTGACACTGGTGCACAGATGAATGTTTATTCACATGCTACAATAACTTGCATTATACTCATTCCATTTGCATCATGCAAGTTAAAACTGGAGAATCAAAAAACAATTCCCTACACATCTAATTCATAATACTTACCTTGTGATATCATATATCCAACTTTATGTTGTGCAAACTATGTGATTTTACTGATCTTATGCATTGCTATTTTAGAGCTGATCTTTGGTTTATAAAATACTGACAGGGTAGAAACCCACTAAGGTTTCTGCTTTTACAAAAAAAAGTCCTTGTGGACTATCCCAAAGATGCTTTTTCCAAAAGGCAACTGTATTTTCTTGAGGTTTTTTTTCTTTGAAAGCCTTTCTTCAGTTCTAACTGTATTAACTTCAGTTAGAACTGGAGAAACTTCTTGGATGAGAAGCAAAACGCTTTCAAATAAAAAACCAAGAATGTCCAGTTATCTTTTAGAAAAAGTACCTTTGGTACAAAAATGAACTGGATGATTGAGAATCTCCATAGATACTCCTTGTGGACTCGTTTTTTTTAACTTAAATAACTCTTTCATATTTGTAATGAATTCCTAATGAACTGAGAGTGGCTAAGAATTTTATGCAATCTCACACTTTGTGCAAATAAAATATTAGGCTGTTGCCCTGCTTAAATCACCAATTAATATAAAAGATGTCCAACCTTCAACTACAGTTGCACACTTAGTAGTGAGCAAGCTACTATTAATATAATTGCTTATCTTTTTTGTTACTACGTATGGAATGCCAGGGCTCCTTAGCAAAGTCTTTGCCCACAATATGTCTTATATAGTTTTGTTGTCCTCTCAAGACGTCACCATAATTTTGACATATAAGAATTTTTTTTTTTACTGTTCAACCTCGTGGATAGTAAAAAAAGATCCACGAAATCGAACAGTGAAAAAAAAGGGCTTAGATGCCAAAGTTATGGTGATGTCTTGAATGGACAACAAAATTATATAGGACATATTGTGGGCAAAGACTTGGCTAAGGAGCCCTGGCATTCCATACCATAACAGTCTTCAATACCATAACAATCTATGGTATCGTATTCGAAAGGCATCTTTCCTAGCATGGCTATTTGCTTCCCAGAAGCTTAGTATAGGGAGATATTTTTTTTCTTTTTTTAGTTCTCCATTGTAGCTCTGTGTCTCACCCCCTAGTGTTCACAGATTGACACCAACTTTTGCCCAACAAAGAGACCTATTCAGAAAATTGGATTGTATTTTTAGCCAGATTCTTTCTTCAGCTTCAAAAGTAGCAAGTGGGGAACGCAGCCTACATCAGTGCAAGCTTTGCAGAATGACCTCATTCAGGCTACGGCATCTGTTAGAAGCAGAAACGACCATTTGTGATATCAGGAGATCCTGACTTTCTCTCTTGTTCTGGCAGCCGGTCCTTAGTAAACAAGGACAGGACTCTTATGTCTTAAATTGCATCTTAAAACATAGTATGCTCACTACATGTATACAAATTGGTAGATGTTAGTGCGCATGATTCTAGTGTGTGATTTAAGATTGAAAGAAACGGCAACTTTTCAGAGGTTTCCTCAGAGATTAAATGGTTAATAAGAAGGCAGTTTAATTTTACATGACTTGCCTGGAACCCCTACCAATTGTTACACAACATTCCTGTGAGTAATCTGCAGTGGGGTGGTGATAGGTATTCTAATACAATTCCGATTTCTGATGTTATGTTTCTTTGTCTCCATAATTACTGCATGACACTGTTACAATACAAATGTTGTTGTGAACAGATAATGATATATTTAAAATATTAAATGTGATTGCATTAGTTGTATTTTGTATTATCATTTTACTTTATAGCTTAATGAGGAGCATAAATATACCTTAAGTTGAGTATCAAATCCTTATGAGCAATGGCCTTTTTCTATTTTGTTTTTTTTTCCAAAGGAAAAATAAGAACTTTACATTTCAGATTTAACAGGACCACTTCTCTCTGATAGATCAACTTGGGGAGTTATAATTTGTTTATATTTTAAAAGTCCAAGATTGAGCCATGATTTCATATTCTGCTGTTGTACAATACATTCTCTCACTTGCTATGGAGAATTGTGGTAAGCCTTAAATGTGGACGCTTCTAATCTCTTCTTGGCAATAACACACACACACACACACACACACCCCTGGTGATTTTCAAATCACATATTCACATTAAAAATAGTGGGAATAGGAACATGGATTTTATTATACCTATTGGATTACATGTGTCATCCCTCTCTTAAGCCTTAAAATTTTTGTAGGCTATGGCAAATCAAGGACACTGTAACCTTGAAGTAAACACAATTGACTACACTAAGTGTGAGCAGTATTATTTTGGTCTTGACCTCTATCAGCTTGTTGATGAGATGAAATGTTTTTGGATTCATTTGATTGTATTTACAACCTAATCTACTAAACTACTCCATTATAATGGGAACTGCCTGAGGGTAGGAGTCTAGAGAGGGTGGCCAGTGGGCTGAGGTCAAAATGAGGTTAAACCATGTTAACACATACCAATACAACCCTCCATTGTTCTTTTTCTCTCTTGAGATTTTTTTCTCCCTAAATAGCTTGTATTGTACTGGCCAAACAGCTTTACTTAGCTGTTTTCAGGAGTACTAAGGGGGTGGGATTCCACTGAAGAAACCAATTTAGAGCCATTAGTTTGGATTTAAGGGTGCTTTTTATTTCTTATGGTTGACTGTTGCAATAGCTCCTTTGGGAGTTGGATTCCCAGCTTGCTGAAAAGGTCTTGGGCATTCCTTGTCACTCCTAAGAACATAAATTCAGAACTATATAAAGAGCCTGCTTACCAGAGTGCTATATTTCATTCTGACATAGTTTGATAATATCCTGTATGAATTTGTAGACACACCCCTCCAACCAATAGAGTAGAGTTTTGAATAATTTAGCTGAATGCAACTTCACTTAGAATCATGCACTTGTAAATAAGTGACAAGCCTCAGAGCTCTTATTGAGGTAGGGGAGAATCAGTGGTTTATGCAGTTTCCAGAATTTCATAGCATTTTTTAAAAAATACATTAAAACATATTCTTGACAACAACATAAGTGGTTTCCCACTGCTGCTTCTGGGATTATTTAGTGACTTTGATTTACATATTTAGCTTTTTTTCTTTATTTATTTCTATCCCATCTTAATTATTTTTAACATTAACATATCTAATAGTCCTTCCTCCTCCTATTTTCCCCACAACAGCAATCCTGTGAGATTGACTGGCCCAAAGTCACTCAGCTGACTTTCATGCGTGAGACAAGATTAAAACTCAACGGTCTCCTAGTTTCTGGACGAGTGGCTTAATCACTAGTCAAAAAGAATGCATAAAAATTTACTTAAATGTATTAATTAAAGTATAATTGCTTAAAAACATATCTAGAATGATATTGCAAGCACCATTCTTCATGTCTGTTTTTGGAACCCATTTTTGATGTAATGTATTTAATTTTAGGGACATAGTGGCTCAGTGGCTAAGATGCTGAGCTTGTCGATCAGAAAGGTTGGCAGTTCGGTGGTTCGAATCCCCAGTGCTGCATAATGGAGTGAGCTCCCATTACTTGTTCTAGCTTCTGCCAACCTAGCAATTCGAAAGCATGTAAAAATGCAAGTAGAAAAATAGGGACCATTTTGGTGGGAAGGTAACAGCATTCCATGCACCTTTGGCATTTAGGCATGCTGGCCACATGACCACGGAGACGTCTTCAGACAGTGCTGGCTCTTGGGCTTTGTAATGGAGATGAGCACCACCCCCTAGAGTCAGAAACAACTAGCACGTATATGCAAGGGGAACCTTTGCCTTTTTATTTAATTTTAGTATAAATGGTAATCAAAATTTATATGACCAAGACATTGTTAGTTACAAAATATGGAACCAGTGGTTCCAAACATCTAGATTGCACCAGTGTTAACTAAGAAATCCTAACCACATTTCTTCTTAAGGGAAATGGGATTATTATTAGTATTATTTATTATTAGTTAAGGGATATTTTATTGCTTCATTATGGTAATCATTGAGAGAATAAATGTTTTATGAAGACGGGTGCATTCAGTAGCATGATCCATTTCCCAATACTTAACACAAAGCAATTGTTATTCAGGATTCAGGTAGTGAGGATTCTGGTAAGATAAGTTAGATCTATCATCTCTTTGCTGTTGTCTTGCTTGGATTGAAGGCTGCTGCATTTCAGATTATAATGTTTTGTTTTGTTTTCAGAGAAGCAGAGTCCTTCAAGGAGCAGGGAAATGCATTTTATGCCAAAAAGGACTACAACGAAGCATACAATTACTATACAAAAGCAATAGGTGAGGATGAAAAGGAAAGGGATGGGAAATCTGAAAACTTTGGACACACCCAAGTGTAGATCATGAAGGCCTTTTATTTCCTTCAGTTGGAAATGTTTCTATTCTAGTATGTATGAATTGGCTCAGATGGATAATTCTTTACAGCAGTTAAATCCAGCATTTTTAATGCAGAAAACCATTTAATACATACAGAATAAAGATTTTCATGTCTATCAGTATATCCGTCTACGTTATATTCTTTGATTCATGGCTGTCCTAGAGATACAGTATGGGTCTAGAACACAGTGTGTAAATAGCCTACTATAAGCACAGAGATCTTTCTTAATATCAAAGTACTATTCTTTGCAGTTATGAAAACTCGGGGGGGGGGGGTGAATTCATGGCGTATTTGATTGAGAAACCAAATAGATCTTTCATGAATTAAGTAGTGGTTAGTCATTACCCTATTTCTCTATTAGTTGCTTTGTATTCTTTATGTTTCTGTAGCAAAGGCACAAACAAGTCTTTAATGCTCTTTGCAAACCTGTGCAAACTGGCCAGTTTATTTTGTATATCAAAATAAAAACCTTGTTATAATTATTAAATAAAAAGTAAAATCTACTTTGTGGAGAGAAAGAGTTCAAAATCTTGCAGAATAGCACGTAACTTTTTCTTTCTTTTTGAAAATGTCTTCAAAAAGAGGCACAATGCAGAACAAATGAGTTCTTTACTGCTTCTAAATTAACTACTGTCTTCTTGTTTCTTATCTTCCAGATACATGCCCCAGCAATGCCAGTTATTATGGAAACCGTGCTGCCACTCTCATGATGTTAGGCAAATTTCGGGAGGCCCTGGGGGATGCTCAGCAATCAGTCAGAATGGATGATAGCTTTCTGAGGGTATGTGAATCACATGTGTAGCTCTCCTGATCCTACACTATACTGGCGTGCTTTTATAATGTTCTTACCTTCTCAGGGACATTTAAGGGAAGGAAAATGCCATCTATCTCTGGGGAATGCCATGGCTGCCAGTCGCTGCTTCCAACGAGTTAAAGAATTGGATGATAAAAATGCACAGGCAGAGCAAGAGGTAAGGTTTTGAACACAAGGTTTGGGCAGGGGTGGGATTCTCCCGGTTTGGACCGGTTCGGGGGAACCCTTAGCTACACTGATCAGCTGGCTCCGAACTAGTTCGATCCAACAATCATGTCGGCCCGCCACTGCACTGTACTCACCTATATCTACTCAGCTGAGTTGCGTGGCAGAGCAGATTGCTGCACCTCAGCTGTGTTACTTCCCTGAGGTAACATTGAAGGTAAGTAATTGCAGTAGCTGTGCACGTGTGTGTTAGGTGTGCGAAGCGCGTGATTAGCAAACCGGTTGTTATACCGGGAGAATCCCACCCCTGGTTTGGGTGATTGATCTGGTTCAGCAGCCCTTGCTTGATTGATAAAAGTCCCAAGATATGTTGCACTGGATTATATTAATTTAGTTAACCCTTCTTTTGAATACCAAATTTCATCTTCTTGTTTCTTATCTTCCAGATACATGTCCCAGCAATGCTAAATTTCATTTTGAATGTATACAGTTATTTCAGTTTTCAGATACACACAGGACATTAGTGAATTAAACATTTTGTCCCTTGTCCTAGCTATAAGTCTGAGTAGAAGAAATACTGTATCTCTTCCAGTCTTTGTTTGATGAGAAAACTTCCTTTTCTTTTTATATACAAAATTTCTGGATTTTCTTTAAAACCCCTCATGTTCTTTCTAGAACTATGCTTATCCTTAACCATTTCTTTAAAATATATAATTTTGAATCTGTCAATATATTATTAAAATTAATGTACAGAACATATATATGTATATGTGCGTGTGTGTGTGTGACACAAAAACATTTGAGATATTAATGATAAGATCTATAAAATGATTCCTTCTCTGGTTTGAATTGTCCATTTGTTCTTCCATTTGCCTTAAGTGCACAGTTAATACAATTAGCATGTTATATTAACCCGGTTTTTGAAATTATCTAACTTTATTTAAATCCTAAAAATCAACAGCTGTTGCTCAATCACAGTTCTTTTACAAATGGATGGTTTTGCACAGATGGAAAACACCTTCAGTTTTAGTCATGTCTCAGAACTTGCTCCAGACTTTGCCCCTTTTATCTCAACAAATCAGTTGTGAGTTTAACTAAAACGAAGTGTGGGAATCTTTTGGCAGCACTTATGCTTTATTTGTTAGGCTTAGTCTGATATTTAAAAATCCCACTCTCAGTAGGTTGCTCATAATATCCTAGAGGTCCGAATGCCCAGTTTGAGGACCCATGTTGCATTATGCTGACTCCTTTATATGTGGGGTATAATGCTAATGTAAACAGTTACCCTGTACAGAAGTATAACTCTTACAGTATAACCCTCCAGATGTATGCAAAACAGAGGACAGAAATTCTGCCCACAAGCGCTACAGCGTATCTTAAATATTGCCTGAATATATTCAGGGACATTAGAAGTCGTGTATGCTAGAAACTCGATTCTTAATCATAACATATATCCTGAAGATATATTGGCTATAAGACATTGTGTATCTTATATTAGCATGTATTATTAAGATTATGTTGAAAATTGATCGTTAAATATTGTTTATCAAAAAGAAAGGTATCATAATGAAGTTCAAATAAATATGAAATTTAAAGCATTAGATTAGACTCCCCAGTGTTGCTATCCATGAAATACAGTGAGCTATTGCTCTCAGAATTATGGCTAATATCTGACTGAGAATCCTGTAGATTCATTCAGTAGTTAAATATATCTACAGGACAACAGAATGCCTGATGTCCTACAAACAGTTAATATTTCTAATCTGATATGATGCTTTCTGTTCCAGCTGAAGTGTGCCAAAGCTGTTCTAGATTATGAGAAAATTGCTGAAGTTGACTTTGAAAAACGGGACTTCCGAAAGGTGATAAAGATTACTTGATATGTATATATATGTGTTGTGTAGTTAGGGAGAGAGGGAGAGGGAGAGACTGTTTAGTTGGGGCCATGAGATTCCTTTCATGCTTTCAGAATTACTTTTCATCCTACCTTTTCATGAATGGGAAACAGGAGGTTTATTTCACCACCACTACCATCACAAGTGTTTCAAACCTCTAACTCTCCCTGTCTTTTTTTTTTTTTTTTGTCTCTTTTGAGTAACAAATTTGTCTTAATTACTCTTCAGCAAGATGGTATTGTTGCTTAGCCCCACTATTTCAGTGTTAAGTCCTCTGTCTGACCTAGTGAATTCTTACTATGCTGCTTTCTAATTGCCAAGAGCAGCTGGTTCACCAGAGACAATCTGAAGTTTGTCTTAAGGAAGAAATCTGCTTTGTCTGACATTTGAGCAAGCTCTATTTAGGCTTCTCTGTCCCTTATGCATTATCAAATATGTCCCTTGTTTCTGGAGAAGAAACTCCTCCTTTTTGTGGCTCCATCATCTGGAGTGTCTCCGCACTTTCCACAGCACCCAGTGGTGATGTCACCTGTGAGAAGAGTTGGGGGAAGGGAATTTGAGAATCCAGCTGAGCCTGAAACCAACAATGCCCTCTTCATATGCAGCTAGCTGAGAGACCATGAGAACACTCACTGAGGCCTGAAATTCAGGTTCATCGTTTGTCATACTAGCTGCTGCTTCATTGAAGCCACTTTTATTTTATCATTTTCAGCTTCTTGAGTTTCTAATGCAATATTTACCAAAATTTCTGCAATCACAGAGCACTGAATAAACATTCAGAAAAATGAGACACTTTCCCTACAGTTTCACTTTTAAGAGCACAGCAGTTAATATTTTCAGATCAATAAGATAAAGTTTATAGCTGCCTTTGTGTATGCCTTCCCATCTTTTCCATTCTTAAATGTTTTTAAACTGAAATATGTACCTGAAAAATAAAGTATACATAGTCCTTGACTTAACAACCACAATTGAGACCAAAATTTCTATTGTTAAGCAAGACATTTGTTAAGTGACTTTTGCCCCATTTTACGACCTTTCTTGCTGCAGTTGTTAAGTGAATTACTGCAGTTGATAAGTTAGTAACCCAGTCATTAATGATTCTGATTTCCCCATTGACTTTGCTTGTTAGAAGGTCATAAAAGGTTAAGACACAGCAAAGGTCATATATATGAACCAGGGATGGGACAGTGAGCAGGCTTGTCCCATGAACACAGAGAAGCTGTGACAGATGAACTAGTGGACTTATGCAGACTCAGTCCATACTTTAATTATTTAGAAAAGCTTATTTAGAAAATAATTATTTAGAAAAGCTTTTACCACAGAATACAGAAGTATGCAGAATAGATACTGGTGTATTCTTAGGCCATATCTGTGCTAGTCACATAGAAGTTGGGGCAAAGGCATCTAGTTTAAAGATTGAAAGTGGTTTAGGTGAAGAGTGTGGAAAATGGATAGTAATCTATAGCTTACATTTTTTCTTATTCCTCCCCCACACACACATACACACACCAAGAGAAACATTCCAAAAGAAGAACATCTAAATAGCAAAGATGCATCCACTATCATCTACTGTCCATATTCATGTTTTGCATTTTTAAGTAGTACTCACAATCCCCCTGCCCCGTTTTGTGATTATGGCATATTTGGGTTTAAGTTTATTTTGCTCCCAGAACAAGTTTCATCCAATAATTTCTATGAAAAAAGAATATGTGCTTCACCTGTTAATACTTTTGGGAATGGCTACATGCATATTTTCAATTAAGCGTCACTTATAAAAGAAAGATATTCTTATGTTCTTCCAAGAGTAACTTACAGATGGGAAGTTATTGTTGCATACTAGAAAGATTTCATTCATGTAATTTTCCCCTGGAAAATTCTGGAGATTAGACCTGCAGAAAGCCTCATCTTACGTGTTTTGGGGAGTTAGATTTCCCACTGCTTCTAGGTAGAAAAGTTTTATATCAGGTATTACATGTGAATGACCTTAATCAGGAACTAATAGCAGTTTAGGTACTTGAGGTGTGTGTTTGTTTGTGCTTCTTAAACTTCTCTACATACCCTCGTTAAAAGGTTCATAAGACTTTTGGGAGAAGCCAAGCTTTGGTGTTTGAAAATTAGTACAATTTCAAAGCCTTAGGCTAACTTGCAAGAGATATGGATCCTATCCAAAAGAACCTTTATGTAGATCTATAAGTATACTTATAATGTATGAAATAAATGAGATTTCAGACTTATGGTGGTATGTTGTCAACATTTTCCATAGTAACCAGTAATGTGGTTTGCTGCCTGTGAGCATATTGACCCTTATTTAGCTATTAAGACCAAAAGCTGCTAAGAGATACCGATATATACATTAACCATACGCTTTGTGAATTATGAGTTAAATGGAAAAGATACTAATTTTTGCCTATCCTGAATTTTGTTCCAGAGCAGACCTCCTAACTATTATAGATTATTCAAGCTGCATGTCTATCTTCAGCAGGCCTAGGGTTCCCTCCAAACCAATATCTTGAGTTTTTGTGTTCTGTTTTTTTTCTCTTTGTGTCTATTCCCCAGGTTGTCTTTTGTATGGATCGTGCTCTAGAATTTGCCCCTGCCTGTCACCGGTTCAAAATCCTCAAAGCAGAATGTTTAGCTTTGCTAGGTCGCTATTCTGAAGCCCAGTCTGTTATAAGGTAAGAACTATAATAGGTTTTATGAGAAAGCCTATATGTATAAATAATAATGTAGTTAACACTGAGAGCAATATCTCATGTTCCTGATACTAATAAAAAGACTGGAACTGTGCTTTTGCATTATCTAGTATTGAGAAGACACAGTGGCACCCAAAATAGTTTTTATTTCTCTAAGTTACAGTGGAGTATATGTTTGTGTGTTTTTGCTTTTTTCATTTTTGCAAAAACCAGAGTTTTTAAGACTACTAACTGGAATGTATTGTGAAAATAAAGGGATGGGAAAGGAGAGGAATGGAGGAATGGAAATAGAGGAATGGAATTAAAATAAACTAGTGGAACGATCGTTAAGTAATTTGAGGAGAATCAACAAGGATATGAATAAAGATGTTGAGAAGTAAATTTAATTTCTTGTTCAGAAGTGCACAGCCACAGAAAAAGAGCAAGTGAGTAACAGCTAAATTTGGCAAAACACTCTTCCCTTTCCTGTTAAGCTGAACTAGCGGAAGACCCACAAGGACAGGATGAAGACAACTTCAATCCTGCCCAAACAAGTTAACTATTCTAATCATTCCACCAGGTTCAGAATTTACAGCAAATTGTATAAATTGGTGTTTAATGAAAAATGAACAACCTGGGAAATTAAAATTCCCCCACTAGTGTGCATAATTGACTAAAGTGTTTTTAGTTCTAAAGAGGTATCTTTGTGTCCACAGGGGTCCTGGCAGAAAACAAAATAAAATGCAATAGGAGCTTTCAAAAAAATATTTTATGTACACCATCCCAAAGTCATTTCGTGAGATGAGCAACTATACAGATGTGGTTATATATAAAAATACTCATGGGTATACTTGTTTTGAAATTAACAGAAGGGAACTGGAATGGAAATGGAAATGGTCCACTAGAATAAAAGCAGCAACAACAACAACAAAAAGCAGTGTCAGGAATTAGAGAAAAGGAAAGACAGTGGACAACTAGAAAGGATGTTGTCTTTGTCTGAAAACTGCAGTGAGGCATCATGTATTGATTTGAAGTACTCACATATTGTTATGCTACAGGTTGCTTACAGTATTGGTGTCTTGGTTTGAGAGTGTACCCAGCTCTGTTTCTGTCCTGTGATTTTTTTTTTTCCTCTGCTCCTGCGCTCTGTATTTAGTGACATCTTGCGAATAGATGCAACAAATGCTGATGCTCTCTATGTCCGAGGACTTTGCCTTTACTATGAGGACTGCATCGAGAAGGCTGTGCAGTTCTTCGTCCAGGCACTAAAAATGGCTCCTGACCACGATAAAGCCTGCCTTGCCTGCCGTGTAAGCATCAAAAGAAATGCTGGGGAGATGTATGGGCTTTCTGACAGGCCTGGGTGGGGTGTGACTTTCCAAATCTTGCTGATACACAACCCCAATGTCCAGTGGTGAAGGATGCTACTAGTTACAGCATCCTGGAGTTGCTAAAAATGTTTTAAATAAATACTTTAAAGATGCAGAGGTTCAACTCTTGACTTACTCGAATTTTTCCAAAGGGGTCCCAAGAATATACTTTGGAAATGCTAAATTTCATGCAATGTTCAAAAGAAGATAGCTGGTGGTAGGTAGCAGCTAGAAATCTGCTTTTGCTATTACATTACTAAAGCAGGTGCTAAGCTGAGTATTTTCAAACTGAGTAGAGAAGAAATCCTATCATCTGCATAATAATCTCTTTCCTTCCAAATATTATTAATTGCTTCATACTGCACAACTTTGGCAATGTATTGAGATGTGTCCAGAACACTTCTCTCCATTTGCTAGATCTTGAGATTGGGAATTGGATAATTCTTTAATAGAAATATTTGTGCGAGTTAGCCAACTAAGATATGCTAAGACAGCCCGAGGTTTTTTTTAATTACTCAAAGACTTTCATTATCTTTTGACCCACTTCTTCCTTCAGAATGCCAAAGCTCTGAAAGCAAAGAAAGATGAAGGTAACAAGGCTTTCAAGGAAGGGAATTATAAGCTGGCCTTCACACTTTATACAGAGGCTCTAGCAATAGATCCAAACAACAGGAAAACCAATGCCAAACTCTACTGCAATCGTGGAACTGTTAATTCCAAAGTAAGTGCCCAAGTAGAGTCTTTCTTTGTTTAGATCAGGTATCTCTCTGAAGCCTTCTAACACAAACAGTTTTAAATGTGGGAGACGTTACCTCAACTCTCTCCTTATTGCAATGTGTAATACAAAAGGGCTTGAAGAATCTTTTAACCTTCAATTGTAAAAGATCATGAAGGCCACATTAGAAGAAGTCTTCTCACCACTGAAACCTGAAATAAGAAAGATGAGAAATTGTTCAGAATAGCAGTGCCTCTATGTTTGTTTGCTTGTTTATTTAAATCCTGACAAATCTTACTGTATGTCAAAGAGTTGAACCATAGCGGTGCCTGTAGCATTTGTTCTAACTTTTCTCTAGATTTGCAAGTATTGTACCTGAGTGATTTGGGTTTGTCTCAAAAGCAATTTGATTACTAATAAATGTGGAGGGTGGATATAGGGTCTCTTTAATTTTTAACTCAGCTACTGTTGTGTGATGCTGAAACTGAGTAACACAATGTGTTCTATTTGAATTAAGTAAACAGCATTTTTAAAACCTGAAAAAAAATGTGGAGATTAACAGAATTGATGAAATAAGAATAAAATCAAGGAGTCATTCTACGAACACTCAAGTATAGAAAGAAAACCACTAAGATAAGGACATTATCCTTTTTTGCATCTTGCATTTTAAAGCTTCCAAAAGTTATCAAGTGCTTGATGCATTTGGTCGATCATTTCTGCAGCACTTGGAACAGCAGGAAAAATATAGCTATTGAAATCTGGTCCATCACTATTGTTGAAAAGAAAAAAGTCTGGTTCATTTACAAGTCCCAGACTGTGAATTGAATTGAAGATTTAAGAACAAGAACAACAACAACCACAACAATAACAACAGATCAAGACCCCAGGGTAGCTGATAATAGAGATAATTTAGATATGGAGCAGTAAGTTCTGGAGAAAAGGAAGGAAATCAGAGAAATTGATGAGGAACAGAAGCAAGAGCTGAATCAGTTGTTGAACTGACAGCCAGAACTAGCTGAGAAAATTAAGACTTGGATGGAAAATACCTCGGTTATTCGTACTTTCCATGGCGCCACTAGCAACCATTTTGAACAAAACAACTGGGTTATAAATTAACAAAAAAAGGTTGAAAATTTCCCATTTACTCTACTTGGATGATTTAAAATTGTTTGGAAAAACAAAAGCTGAATTGAGCTCACTGCTGAAAAGCACTGAGGAGTTTAGCAGAGACATTGAAATGCAATTTGGCATTGACAAATGTGAGACAATTGTTGAAATTAAGGTAGGAAAAATTGTTGAAGGATTTGAACTTAATAATGAAGAGTTGAAAAAAGCAGTAACACCAGAAGAAGGGTACAAGTACTTAGGAGTTTTGGAAGTCTTTGATCTGTTGCACAATCAAGTCAAGGAAACTAGTTCAACAAAATACATAAAGCAAGTCTGGAAAATCTTAAGATCAAAGGTAAGTGGAAAAAATATCATGAAGTCAATTAAAACCTCGCCAGTGCCTGCAATACAATACTCAACTGGAATAATTGATTTGACTCAGCTAGAACTTGATAACTTGGATTGAAAAACAAGAAAACTAATGATAATGCATCATGTTCTGCACCCAAAAAGTTATATTGATTGATTGTACCTGCCTAGATCTCAGTGTAGCAGAGGACTCTTACAGGTGAAACAAACTGGAAGGGGAAAAACATGGCATAAATGACTACATAAAAAAGCAAAAGAGCCTCTGTTAAAAGAGGTGAACAAAGGAAATCTCTTAAAAACAACAAGATTGAAAGCAGAATATTGAAAGGAAACAAATGAGCATTGAGTTTCTAACTGGAAAAAGAAGTCTATGCACAGTCAATACTGAAGGACATTGAAGGAGAGATAGCTACAAAGCTAACATAGAGATGGTTGAGATCAGGGAGGTGAAGAAAGAAATTAAAAGCTTCCCAAAAACAATTCCATGAAAGCAAAAATTCAGCATGTCAGTGACAACAGCAAATGTTGCTTATGCAGTGAGAAAGATGAAACAGTGGATCACCTTATCAATGGCTACAGCAAAATCTCACAAACTGATTATCTATAATGTCATGATAGAGTTGCCAAAATCATACATTGGAAGCTTTGCCAGAAGTTTGAGTTCAAATGCTGCAAAAAATACTGGGAACACCAAATTGACAAAGTTCTTGAAAATAAACAGGTCAAAATCTTGTGGGACTTTTGAATCCAAACAGACATCTGGCCCACAACACACCTGACATTGCTATTGTGGAAAAGAAAAAAGTCTGGTTCATTGATATGGCAATACCAGGTGAATACGACTTGAAGAGAAACTGCTAGAAAAAAATGAAATACTGTGATCTACAAATTGAAGTTGAGCAATTGTGGAGGAAGAAATCAATGGTTGAACCAATAGTTATAGGAAGGCTTGGCACAATACCCAAAGGGTTGCCTAGATACATGGAAATTTTGAACTTATCAGACCTGAATATTCTGACTTTGGAAAAAAAAAAAACCCATCTTACTCAGAACTGCCTGTATACCCAGACATTACCTTAATAGCTCTTAGGTCCTTGGTTAGGTCTTAAACTGTTAAGTTTGTACCAGTTCCAGACTATGAATCGAATTGAAGATTAAATCAATAATATTAATAATTAATGATGATGATGATGATGATGATGATGATGATGATGATGATGATGATGATGATGATGATGTTAGAATATATTATAAGGTATCAAAAAGCCATCATCTAAACTTGCTTAAAGACCTGTCAAAGCAAATGAAGTTTGAAGTAGAGATATATTGCTTTTTATCTTAGTGACTAAAAATAATGCCAAAGAGTTTAGTTCCTAATCTTGGTGTTTGCCTTTCAGCTTGGAAAGCTATGCGAAGCAATAGGAGACTGTACAAGTGCTATCAAGCTGGACGACACATACATCAAGGCCTATCTAAGAAGAGCACAGTGGTAAGGATGGGCATCTAAAACTGGAAGGGAGTGGAATACCTGATTTAGTAATTTAAAAAAAGTTTTTTAGACTGAACAAAAAATGGTGGGAGGGAGATTTATCATTAGTGTCAGGACTTCAACAAAGCCACCCACATTCAAATCATAAGTCTCTAGCCGCATCTCACAGAAAAGAAAATGGATTTATTAGAAGTGGCCATGTTGGTGTTAGCTGGATGCAGCCAATACTAAAATACATCATTCATTTCCCCCTTGACCCTGATCCCCACACACACACACACACCTCCTGGATGTGTATTCTCCAATGGGACACATCTATCCCCAAGAGTCATCAATAATGCTCTCCAGTAATATCCTTGCGCTCCGACAACTTTGGGTTTCCAGGGTGATTATCTAGGCACTTAAGGAATGCCCTGTTTTCCCCAACTCCCTTTTTCTGGCAGCTAAAAAGACCAAAGGAGTATCTTTTTAGTTGACATTTAGCTCCCCTCACTTCTTGAAGGTGACCTGTACAACACAAAAAGAAAACAAATTTATTACAGGTATAGAACTTAGGGTTGCAAACCCTCCCCCCAAGGTTTGTTTGGGTTTTTTGCATGAAACCTTGTCACAAGGCAATCAGCTTGGACATTTCTACTCTTTACCCAAGATGCCTCTGATAAAGGGTAGCCCTTGCACTTGATTAAATATTGGAGTTGTTTCCTGTATCACCTCAAATTGAGAATTCACTATACCTCATAATGGGTTTGCCCCCCTATGACCACGGTATCTAGGGGTTCACGAGGTGGTGGCCTCAGGGTTGATCCCACCTCAGGTTTTAAGAGGCTACTATGGAATACCGGGTGTATTTTCCCTAACAGTCCAGGCAACTTCAGTTGCACTGGGACTGGGTTGATGACCTTTACTATGGAGAAAGGTCCCATGAACTTTGGTCCCAACTTCTTACTAGGGAGCCTTAACTTCAAGTATTTGGTGGAGAGGTAGACCTTCTCCCAGGGGTGGGATTCAAATTTTTTAACAACCAGTTCTATGGGCGTGGCTTAATTTGTGGGTATGGCTTGGTGGTCATGTGACTGGGTGGACGTGGCTTGGGTGGACGTGGGTTGGTGGTCACATGACTGGCTGGGTGTGGGTTGGTCATGTGGCTGGCTGGTCATGTGGCCATGTGGCTAGGCAGTCATGTGACCGAGTAGGCATAGCCAGGTGGTCATGTGACTGGGTGGGTGTGGCCAATTTAGCAGTCCATTAAATAATACCCAATAGCTCCCTTTTCTATTCTTTTTTAATACTGCATGAAGTTTTTGCTCTAGGGTTTTTTTTAATTAAGGGGGAGAGGTTGGCAATGCCTGGGGAAGGGAAGAAAAGGCATGGTTTCCACAGGTCCCATGGCTATATTTAAAGGGCCAGCTAATATCATTGGTGTTGGGAAATTCATTGGTGAGGTGATAGTGACTGGATATGCGATATTCACTGGTACAGTAGCTGCAGTTGGTAAATTGACAGGTGTGGAGAGTGTTAATGGAGAAATCATTGGGCTAGAGATGTTAACCGTGCTCAAAATATTGTCTGGGCTTCTCATACTCATTGCAGTAGCCACAATGCGAGGAGCTGCTCCTTTGGTACTAAATGAATTTTGCCCCATTTAACAACCTTTCTTGCCACAGTTGTTAAGTAAGTCACTGCAGTTGTTAAGTTAATAACAGTTGTTAAGTGAATATGTCAGAAGGTTGCAAAAGTTGATCGCATGATCCCGGGACACTACAACTGTCATAAATATGAACCTTTTGACAAGCATCTGAATTTTGACCATGAGGATGCTGCAATGACTGTAAGTTGAAAAGTAGTCATTTCAGTTCCATTGTAATTTTTTTTTAAATAAATTTTATTGGTTTTTAAAAACAAACATGCAAACAAAACATAAAACATCTTTTTTGAAAGCAGCATAATCCCGGGTTACATCTCTTCATACAGACACAAATTCAAGTTCGTGCTCATTTTAATATTCCATTCCATATCTTATTATTATTCTACATTTTCTACATAGCTTCTCCCCTCTTTTTAATATTCCGTTCCATATCTTATTATTATTCTACATTGTCTACATAGCTTCTCCCCTCTTTTAACTTTCTTAATTTCTCGTAGTTGCAGATCTCCATTTCTAAGAATTGAAAAACGAAGCCAAAAAAACCCTTCTCTTCTTGTACATCTTCTTTGTATTTTTTAAGTTCCATTTTCAATTCATCCAGAAATGATGCCATTGTAAAAAATTGTAAACAACTACCCAATTGATTTTAGTCATTCAAATATAATAACCAAAAATCCAAAAGTCACCAAGCAATCCAAATACACACAGGCTGTTTCTTTTTACACTTTCACTTTCTCTTCCTGGGGTTACTATTTAGTTGCAAAGTTTCAGTTAAAACAGGGGTGGGCAAACTTTTTGGCTCGGGGGCCGCATTGACTTTTAAAATTTGACAGAGGAGCCGGGTCAGCACAAGATTTTTTGGGAATCGCCCCCCCTTCCCCCCCTCTTCTCCTCCTTCCCCTCCTCTCGGAGGCCCCCTGAGTCAGGAGTTGCTACCGCCGGCGCGGCTCCGCACGGCTCCAGTCCCGCGTTGCCTTGGAAAGGGAAAGGCAAAAAGGAAGAGCCGCGGTGGTGCTTTGCAACGGGAGCAGCAGCACCGGAGGCTCAGGCTCAGCGGCTCCTGGTTTTGCCTTTTCCTTCCCAAGGCAACGCGGGACTGGAACCGCGCGGAGCTGCGCCAGTGATAGCAACTCCTGACAGCCCCAGCCGGACACCTGAGCGGAGCCCGGGCGAAACTGCCTGTTGCTGCTGCCGGAGCACCGCCAGGTCGCCTCCTCCAAGCAGCCCACCCACCCACCGGGCTTCCCCTCTGCCACGCGGCTCGGGGCCAGGCGCGAGCACCCGCGAGTTAAAAGGAAGCCGAAAGTTGCTGGGAAGTTGCTCGGGTGCTGGGAGCAGGCTTTTAAAGTGCCGCCTGAGCAAACTTTAAGCAGCCCGCCCGTCCGCCGGGCGGAACCCTTCCCGCTCCTCGGCGGGAAGACGCTCCAGCCTGCAAACTTTGCCTTTGAAAAGCCCTGGAAACCCCGGAAACCTGAGCAACTTCCCAGCAACTTTCGGCTTCCTTTTAACTCGCGGGTGCTCGCGCCTGGTGGAGGGGAAGCCCGGAGCCTCCTCCAAGCAGCCTGCCCGCCCGCCGGGCTTCCCTTCCGCCGCACGGCTCGGGGCCAGGCACGAGCGCCCGCGAGTTAAAAGGAAGCCGAAAGTTGCTGGGAAGTTGCTCGGGTGCTGGGAGCAGGCTTTTAAAGTGCCGCCCGAGCAAAGTTTAAGCCTGGAAGCCCCGGAAATCCGAGCAACTTCCCAGCAACTTTCGGCTTCCTTTTAACTCGCGGGCGCTCGCGACTCGCCCCGAGCCGCATGGCAGCCCGCTCCAAGCAGCCCGCCCCACCCTCCGGGCGGAACTCTTCCCGCTCCTCGGTGGGAAGACGCTCCAGCCTGCAAACTTTGCCTTTGCAAAGCCCTGGAAGCCCTGGAAAACCGAGCAACTTCCCAGCAACTTTCGGCTTTGTTTTAACTCG